AATCCCGAGCTTTATGTGGTCGCCGAGCTATTTACCAACTCTGACGGCACCGACAATGTCTTCGTCAACCGGCTGGGCATTACGTCTCTTATACGAGAAGCTCTCTCCGCCTGGGATTCCCATGAGCAGGGTCGTCTGGTTTACCGTTACGGTGGCGTACCGGTCGGCGGCTTCTTTGCGAATCCCAATCGCGATGCAGCGCCCAGCGTGGCGCATGCGCTCTTCTTGGACCTGACACACGACAATCCGTCACCCATTGAGAAGCGTTCAGTCTACGACCTGCTGCCCTCATCGGCGCTGGTGGCCATGGCCTGCTGTGCCACGGGCAGCAACCGCGGCTACGATGAGCTAGTTCCGCATCATGTAAGTCCCAATGCTGCTAGTTAAGTGATTCATCATGTCTAATGGTATCTGCTTGCCTTACGCCAGATTCATGTGGTCGATGAGGAACGCCCTTATCAGGAGTGGGGCAAGGGCGTGGACTTTAAAACGGGCATTGTGGCCGCCAAGCGCGCCTTGAATATACTGCACGGCCAGCTGGCGGAGGAAGGTTTCAGTCAGGTGTACGTGGACCAAATGGATCCCAATGTGGTCGCCGTGACGCGTCACTCGCCCAACACACACCAGACGGTCATCCTGGTTGCCCACACCGCGTTTAGCTATCCGCATCCCAATGCGGGCGCCACCAATGTGCGCCCGCTGCGATTCGAGGGGGTACTGGACGAGATTATACTCGAGGCCAACTTAACCATGAAAAGCGACAAGCCCTTCGATCGTCCGGCCCCCTTCAAGAGGGAAGAACATGTGCTGAATGGCTTCACACAGTTCGAGCTGTCGCTGCAGGAGCACATACCGCTCAGCAAGTCGCAAGTATTCGAGACGAGCCTCTACACGGATGGCAACAACACCCAGCTCAACTTTGCCAATCTGCGTCCCGGCACTGTGGTCGCCATCCGCGTCTCCATGCATCCCAGCGCTCGCAAGAGCTTCGATCGCCTGCAGCAGGTGACGAACTCGCTGCGCCTTGAGTCGGGTGCCCAGTGCGAAGAGCTTAAATCGATTGTCTCCAAACTGGATTTACCTGCCTTGAGTCGGGCACTGTTCAGCTGTGATCAGGAGGAGCGCGACATGGGCCTGGGTGGCTCCGCCTATGATATACCCAACTTTGGGCCCATTGTGTACTGTGGCCTGCAGGGCTTTGTCTCGCTGCTGACGGAGATTTCACCACGCGATGACCTGGGCCATCCACTGTGCAACAATTTGCGTGATGGCAACTGGATGATGGGTGAGCCAAATTCTGTTCACTTTTATGTCCTAACTTTAATCTCTTGCCACTCTTAAGATTACATTGCCGATCGTCTAAATAACTTTGCTGATCTGAAACCCCTGTCCAACTGGCTTAGGGCAACCTTTGATCCGTTGAAGAACGTGCCACGCTACCTTATACCCTGCTACTTTGATACCATTGTGAGCGGTGTCTACAATGTACTGGTCAATCAGGTCAATCAATTGATGCCCGAGTGAGTGTCCAAACGAAACACATTTATTTAATATATTTGTCGGGCAAGCCTCACGACAAACTACAGTGTAAAGGAAAATAGTCTGGTTGTTTAGAGATGATATCTATTAGATAATATTTTTATCACGCCCTCAAATCGAACAAGTAAAAGAGCGCCAGTTGGAATAGCCCGACTTGATGGACAGACGGACGGATGGATAGACAGACGGATGGACAAACGGGTGGATGGACGGACGGCCAGATGGACGACAGACGGATGGATAAACGGACAGACGGACGGATGGACGAAGGGATAGTTGGACAGACATGCTATTCAAGAATATATATATACTTTATGGGGTCAGAGATGCTTCCTTCAGCTGTTTCATACATTCGCACACAAACCTTTTTACCCTTTAGAAAAATATGACAGCCTAGCTTAGAATGTTGCTTGTATTTGGATTCAAAAATATTTAGAAATTGTTTGGTTTAAATTTAAGAATCAGCCCCAAAGCACAAATATCTTGCGCCCCAAATTGATCTAAACATATTTGTTAGATGTCAATTTCGGGTAGAGAATAAATTTAGCCCGCAAGTTCCATATGAAAATATCTAGGCTTGCAATATTTTCAGTAGAACGGGCAATTTAAAATTGAAATGTTTCAAACAAATTTTTAAAATTTGAACAAAACCGATTCAAGAATGTACATAAAACCGGTTTGACCAGCCGAAACTAAGGGCAGCAGTTAGAATCGTAAACCCTTTTCTTTTCCGGACTTCAACTTAAATCACGTAGCTTGTTTGGGAATTATCATTCGAAAATTAACTATAGATTCTAATAACGCGTGTATAATTCATGTTATTTAATTACCTAAGTAATATAGGTTACGGCTGAGATTATATGCTTTATTTTGATTATTCTCTTACCTTTCAGTTTTATACGCGATGGTCATAACTTTACACAATCCCTGGCGCTCTCGACGCTCCAGTTCCTGGCCGTTTGCAATTCGGCGAATCTGCCGGGTTTCAGTCTTGCGCTCAGCCCACCAAAGCCGCCGAAGCAGTGCGTCACCTTGTCCGCCGGCCTGCCCCACTTTTCCACAGGTAACAAAGTCAATTGACTTTCGGCTTAATTAATAACAACTCCTCACTTGCAGGCTACATGCGCTGCTGGGGCCGGGACACGTTCATCGCACTGCGCGGCACAATGCTGCTCACGGGTCGCTTTACGGAGGCGCGCTTTATCATAATTGGCTTTGCATCGGCCATGCGTCATGGCCTGATCCCCAATTTGTTGGATAATGGCGTTAAGCCGCGCTTCAATTGCCGCGATGCAGTCTGGTGGTGGATGCACAGCATTGCCCAGTACGTTAACGAGGCGCCGAAGGGTGCCGCTATACTCAACGATAAGGTGTCACGGATTTTCCCGTACGATGATTCCGAGCCTCATCCGCCCGGCGCCTTCGATCAGCTGCTGCAAGACGTCATGCAGGAGGCACTGCAGGTGCACTTCCAGGGTCTGCAGTACCGGGAACGCAATGCTGGCCAGGAAATAGATGCGCACATGGTCGATCAGGGATTTAACAATCATATCGGAGTGCATCCGGACACGGGCTTCGTGTTTGGCGGCAACAGCGCCAACTGCGGCACCTGGATGGACAAAATGGGCTCCTCAGAGAAGGCGGGCAATCGCGGACGACCCAGCACACCGCGCGATGGCTCCGCTGTGGAACTGGTTGGCCTGCAGTATGCCGTGTTGCGTTTCATGCAGGGACTCAGCGAGCGAAAGATTATTCCGCACAGCGGCGTGGAACGCAAGGGCCCGTCGGGCGAGCTGACCAAGTGGAGCTACAAGGAGTGGGCAGATCGCATACAGAACAATTTTGATGCGAACTTCTTTGTCAAGGACACGGACAGAACATCTGTGGCCAACAAGAAGGGCATCTACAAGGATAGCTTTGGAGCCACGCAGGACTGGACAGACTTTCAGCTGCGCTGCAACTTTCCCATAACGCTAACAGTTGCCGCGGAGCTGTGCGATCCGAAAAACGCCTGGCGTGCCCTGGAACAGGCCAGAAAGTATCTGCTTGGCCCGTTGGGCATGAAGACACTGGACCCGGATGACTGGAACTACAGAGCCAATTATGATAACTCCAACGATTCGACAGACTGCACCGTAGCACATGGCGCCAACTATCATCAGGGTCCCGAATGGGTGTGGCCCATAGGCTTCTATCTGCGCGCCCGCCTCATATTCGCCAAGAAGTGCGGCTACCTGGACGAAACCATTGCCGAGACGTGGGCCATATTGCGGGCACATCTGCGAGAGATGCAAACATCTCATTGGCGCGGCCTGCCCGAGCTGACCAACGACAATGGAAGCTACTGCAACGACTCCTGCCGCACGCAGGCCTGGAGCGTGGGCACAGTGCTTGAGGTGCTGCACGATCTGCATGCGCTTGGCGCGGATGTCTAGGCCAAATCAAAGTCAACGAATCTCTCCGTCTGCAGAGATACCATATAATTCTAAATTATACAAAATTTATCCAAATATACACTTAATTGGTTAGCCGCCACTGATGTGCATAAAACCATTAAGTTAGTTATTCAATTTGTTACCCAAGTTGTGGATCATACCATACTCTCCCCCTCTCTCTGTCTCTCTATACATATTAAAGTTATTTTATCTATGCCAGCACTTGCCTTTCATCTAAGAGAAGTAGCTGTTTCGCGCCAATCGCATACTGGACGTCTGTGGCGGACAAATGGGCCCACTATTCCTATACGCCTCATCAAGTTGGGAGACCAGGCAGCGTGTTTCAAGTTTCTTGCTGCTGGGATCCAGGCCTCCGGGCGGGTCGGGCACTTCAATGTCTATATTATTTTTTGCATCGCTCTTAATATTATCCTTCGTTTCTCGAACTTTATAATCTTTGGCTGTTATCGCGTTCATCTACAAGATATTGATAAAATATTTATTGGCAAATTTAACAATTTTTATAGAGTTTTTACTTACGATCTTGCATTTGTTCAAGACTTGTGCGGCGGCGGCGCATGTTAATTCGTAGGCGCTACTCAAAACTATTCTTTGCACTACATCCAAAACTATTGACATCTTTATAGAATTGTATAAACTGCGTAATTTGGATTAAGAATTTTGGCTATTGCTTAACATTTGACAATACGACAACTAAATATCAAATAATTTTGACATGTGCACTATGTACAGCACAGCCATTCAGTATATGAAAATGTATATAATTTTTCGATCGGCTCAAGTCAAATGTTAAGCATGAACTGAAGGTGTATTTTAAAATGTCGCCAAAATTCAGGCAATTTGAACCAGCGACCTCGTTTTGTTAGGCCGACGTTCAGAAATTGTTGATATTTCTCATACAAATTCTATACACCGTTTTCCCACACTTCATGGTCGAGGTTTTCAACCTTGTCGTGTGCAGTAATATTAGTCAAGAAATCAAAATTATAAATATATATATATATATATCTATGAATATATATATTGCTTAGCATATTTATGTATCTTTTTCTAGATACTAAATTAATACATCATTATCATTAAAAATAAGTTAATATATATATGTACATAAAGCTTTTTGGCCCTGTGAACATTACACTGGAGCTGTACATTTGAATACATAGGTAACAGTTACATAATCTGAATTCAAATGGAACAGTTACATACTGTGAGTACATATGTAACAGTTACATAATATGTAACAGTTACACAATCTAAATACATAGGTCTTTGTAACAGTTACCTACATAATGTAAAAACATATGTAACAGTCACGTAATTTGAAAACATATGTAACAGTTACATTATCTGAATACATAGGTAACAGTTGCGTAATGTAAAAACAATTGTAACAGTTACATAATTTTTGGTGTAGGTAGTGCTTGCAGTTCAATTGAGCGCGTATTAGCTTGCATCCAGTTCTGTGTTGGATGTCGTAGTCATCGTCGTTGTCGTCTCGAGATCATCATCCTTGACGGATTTCAGTTCACGACCCATGTTCTCGATTTGCAGGCTGAGACCGACGAGTGCACTATTTTTGAGCTCGTTTAACTTGGGCTCGGGAAGACAATTCTCGTTGGCATCGCGTTTGACGCGCACCGCGGGCTGCGCAGTCGCAATCTTCGGCTCATTTACTTGCAACAACTCTCGCCTGATGGCATCGACGTTGTCCGCGTTGGTTGTTCTATTAGCCGGCGGTTCGGCAGCTAAGGTGCCGTTAGTTCTTGTCCGAGTGGAGTTCGAGAGCAGCACCAGAGGCAGTGGCAGTCGTTGGGCTAGTAACGGCGCATCGCCAGTTGAATTCTTTAGCAGCTCACCCGTTTTGTAGGAGAGCGGTTCGAAAACTCCAGCATGAGCTTCCTGTTCCTCTCGCGCATGGGCATTCTCGGTGAGCATTTCCATCAATGAGGCGGGTTTGCGTTCCTTTTTTGTGTTGTTGGCGTCATGAGGCTGGGGTTGTACTTGGAGCTGGGGCTGGAGTAGTGACTCCTCCATCTCTTTTCTACGATTATTTTCTTTGACCTTATTCAGTGCCTTATCCAGTTCGTTTACAGCCAAAGGTTTTGGATTCTCAACATTTTGATGGGCCAACTGATCGTTCAGTTTATCCACACTGCTTTCCAACAGTTTCATTGCATCTGGACTTTGAGGCTTTTGTTTTGCCAACTCCTCGTTTAGCTTGTCCACGGTGCGCTCCAAAGCCTTCATTTTTTCTTGAAGTTCCTTTTCTGTTTTACGCAATTCGTCTGCATTCGCTTTATCTTTTTGCTCCTCGGCTGTAATTTCCTCTTCCTTTTTGATGGCAGCTCCGTCTATGGTTCGCTGTGCAGCCAGGTCCAAAGACTGAGAAGTTTCTGGTTTAGGAACTGGCATATTTGCTGCAGGAGACTTTTCCAAGCTAGTCAAGTTTTTCTTTACAATAGATGCCGCTTCATTTCCTTCGACTGGTTTGGGTTCCACTTTTGGTATGCTTTCAGACTTAATCGGCGGCGCTTCGTTATTCGCATCCACGTTATGTGATTCATCGACAGGCAACGGAGGCATCGGTTGATTATCTAAAGGAGCATCCGCAATATTTGACTTCTCGACAAGATTTATGCTATTTGCGTTAGGTTCACGTTTGCCATGTTCAAAGTTTTCTAGATTTTCTTTAGCTTCTGCCTCGCTGCTTTTCACTAGCAGTTTAATTATTTCGGAGCTCTTTAAATCATGACCCACCGCGGGCGGAGATATTTCGTTGGGCAACAATGGTGTTACCACTTGAGCACCGTCAAACTGTGGACCAGAGCTCTGGGCGTCTATGGCGTTCAAATTGGCATATGTGCCGAGTATCATCAGGCAAAAACCGCTGACGAATACAAACTGCGCCAAGGTGCGTTCCGTTGATTCCTTTCTGATGATCTGGCGAAAACTCGATGCCGGAAACATAATGCATATGGCCACGCCTATTGTGGAACCCACCAGGCCAATGATAAGCTCAACAGATGGAATCATAAGCGCCACGCACAGCGAGAAGATAACGATGAACAGTGTAATTAAGCGAAAGCGCTGCTCTGGTATATAATTGCTGCTCTCCGTGTGCCCCTGCTGGAATTGTAAGTATAAATTGTATTAGGCTCTCATCATTCTAACTAAATTATAATCCTAACCTTTCTGTACAAAAGGGAATAGATGCTGGCTCGGCACGGGAATATGACCAGGGGAAAGCTGAATGCAATCGACAGCACAAATCCAATTTTGATAATATCGCTGCCAAATGAGGGCGACAGGTTAACCAAGATATTACCTGGGACAAAAATCTAGTTTATTAGCATTTTTGAAATCATTGGGATATATTTTAAGCTTTACCTGAAAAGCTGTGCGTGCAGAAAGCCACATAGCCAAAGAAACCAACGGCTATATAAACCAGTGTACATATCCATGTCGCGTTGCGCACAATGCCATTCAGCTTGTCCAGACTTTGGTTGTTGATGCTGTCGAAGACTTCAAAGAGTTGCCTGGAATCAAAAGAGAATTCGTTACAAAAATAGTTCGCCTGACTTTAAAGAGCGCTTACATTTGGCAGGATAACGCCATGCTGAAGATGGGCAGGCACTGCAGCACTCCCGCTGGCTCCCAGTAAGTCACCTTCTCGGTCCAATCGTTAGCGATAATGTGCGCCTCGGACTCGAGCACAATTTTAAGCATAAGACACACATAGAAGCCAATGGAGGCGGTGCACACAGCCGACAAGCTGTCCACGTTGCGCAGCATGCCCAGCGGCACAATGCAACAGACAGTGACAACAAACATGACCACCGTGCGCAGATGATTGTTCTCCGCCATATCCAAGGAGAACAGCTTGGCAACAATCTGTGGGCCCAGGTCGCCGACGACCACAAAGTACGTGATGCACGTTCCAATCAGGTAGCCAATAATGCACAGTTCCGCCAGCAGTTTGCCAGATGTGCCAAAAGCGTGCAGTCCCAGCATTTCAAAGCTTTTGCGACGTGTCAGCAGCGAAGTTTTTATCAGATAATGGCAACAGATGCGCGTTATCCAATTGCTGAGTACAAGCAGCACAATGGACAAGATGATGCCGCACTTCTGGAAACAGAAGGGCATGGCCAAGATGCCGACGCCAATTATGCTGTTTGCCAGCGTCATAACATGACCCGAATGCGAGAACATGATGCAATTCGCTTTCACCTGCCGATGAGCTCACCGGGAAGTTGCAAATTTGGTGCGACAGCTTTTTATTTTCTTCTGCGACAGTGGGTAGCTGTTTGCGTCGTAAGCAAAAAGACACTAAGAGATAATTTCACACAGTAGGGTCACAATCACATACACACACTTACCTGTGGCACTTGTTATCACAAATGACAGGCGCCACTTGTGCAAGCAGAAACAATTTGTTGAAACCTGGGCAGTCGGTGTTTGTTTAAGTGATTGGCTTACATAAAGCAAGCGAATACTGTTGAGAAAGGCATTAAATACTATTTCAATAGGTAATTATGTTGGGCTGTTGTGCACATTTTAAAACACAATTTTGGTAACGTCAGCATTGTTTAGGTTTCTGCTCAACCAGCGCTGCACAGCTGATTTTGCTGCGGATGAGTGCGTGCCGATATATTTGGGGCACGACTCACGATGTGGTACACTAGGTTTGTAGCTATTTCATCGCAACTCTTTTCTTGTTTTCACTTAAAGCATAGCTAAAATGTGGTAAATTATTTTCTAAACTGCTTAGATTTTGATATAGCGATATGTTCTGTAAGTTCGATTTGAATTTTGTGACCGAATTTGGTTCTTTTGAAGCGTTTATTTGTGCTCATTTAGTTCCGAGCAAATGCACGCATCTCTAGTTTGTGATAATGTGACCATATATGCAATCAAAAAACGTACAGTCTGGCAGCCCCATTTTCTTAAGTCTGGTGGCAACGCTGCGGTGTGTGTTTCTTTCCGTTCCGTAGACTGCAAACGTCAAGATGGCCGATGTAATTTTTGTGTAAAAATCTAGAAAAATATAAAGCATCCGTGCGCAGTACGGCAAGAGTTTATAATAATCACAAAGTCCAATGTACTGCGCATGTTTGCAAATATTATTTTAGAGTTTTACGTGCTAAAGTGTATACGAAATTGGCGATAAATTGTGCTAATAAATACCCATTGTTTTTTCTATGACACAAAACAGCAAGTTGATGAAACTCTTAAGAAGAAGCGTACCTTCAAGAAGTTCACCTACCGTGGTGTGGACTTGGATCAGCTGTTGGATATGCCCAAGTGAGTAGTTAAACTCGGATGCTGAGCGGCGTCCCAAAACTAACCTCACTGTTGACTTCTCACTCCATCACCGCGCGCAGCAATCAGCTGGTGGAGCTGATGCACAGCCGTGCCCGCAGGCGTTTCTCGCGCGGTCTGAAGCGTAAGCCAATGGCCCTGATCAAGAAGCTGCGCAAGGCCAAGAAGGAGGCTCCACCAAATGAGAAGCCAGAGATTGTGAAGACCCATCTGAGAAACATGATCATTGTGCCCGAGATGACCGGCTCCATCATTGGCGTTTACAATGGCAAAGACTTCGGCCAGGTGAGCAAACCTCTTCCCATTGAAATCCTTTTACTAATTCCGCCTCTCAACAGGTCGAAGTTAAGCCAGAAATGATTGGCCACTACTTGGGTGAATTTGCGTTGACCTACAAGCCCGTCAAGCACGGTAGGCCCGGTATTGGTGCCACCCACAGCTCACGTTTTATTCCCCTCAAGTAAGCGCTGGCACTGTGTCTGGAGCAGAGTCGTCGCCTCCTTATTTGTGGGCCGTGACTTGTTTTTGGATTTTTACGCGTAATAAAGGAAACGTAATTTTTTAAGAACGTAATGCTGTCTTTCAATCCTCACTGAAGAGTAAACACTGGACACTTAACAAATTTACGTTTTATGTTTATTGGAACTTGCAAATTGTGTATATATTTTGTTGGATTTATGTGTGTTTGATGCAACCGGGCACAAGCTATCTTCGCTTTCGCGCGCTGTTGCTATTGGTGACCCCCACACGGTCGTAGGCCGTGTCCTTCATGTTCAAATTGGATTCACGTGCGCCATTGTAAACCCTCTGGCGCTGAGTGTTATGGGCCTGTGGATGACTTGTTGTGTGCGTCATGTCGTTCACATCGGCCGATCCGTAGGCGCTGTCTTTGACTTGAGAATCATGGTGGGAGCGATTAAAATAATTCAATTGCATTGCTGCGGGAGGCATCGCCGGCACTACGGGATTAGACAGCACTGGGAGTTGGGCAAGCGATTGGAAGGCATTAGTCAAGCCCGTGAAAGTCACCGTTTTGATCGGATTAGTTTTGTTAGGAATATTGTTGTTATTATTGCCACTCGTAAAGTAGGCGCTGCCATTGGGCACATAGCTGCTCTGCATGGGCTGCAGGCTCTGGTTATTGGAGTTAAAAGCGTTGTAGGAGTTGGCATTGTCAATGGCCGGCATGCTGGTGTACATGGCTGCCTGTAACGAGTCGGACTTGGAGCGCTGGAGAATACTCTTGGTAGACATCCGGGTGCCAACGCCAATGGAGTTCTTAGCGGCGGGTGTGGAGGATTCTGCCTCGAGCGGCACGTCGAGTGTGGTTAGTAGGCTGCTGCTCTGTGACTGGTTTAAAAAGCCGTCGACTTGGAGAAGTGTTGGCTGCCCCTTACCTAGCCGGTTCAGCTCCATTTCCATTGAGTTATAAATGGTCAAATTGCTGGCCAGCATATCCTGCCTGGAGCCCAGTGTCAGCAGGCTGTCGGCATTGGTAAGCGTTGATGTGGAGGCTAGATTAACGGACTTGGATGAGTGCATGGCCATGCCCATTTCGCTGGGCCCCTGCTGCAGTGCACCCGTGCGAGGATCAAAGTGCTTCTGGGTGGCATCTTTCAATGTGCTTTTAATTTCCTTTGGCTTGGCCGGTTGTTGTGGCTGGCGTATGGAAGAGATGTGTCCAGGCACTGGCTCGCGTGACACGGATGAGGATGGCGACGCGGAATTCGTCTCCTCGTTCTCTTCCTGCAGAAGAGAAATCCAAAGCATTTTGAATTAAGAGCCATAAGTAGAACAATTTCGGATCCTACCTCATCCTCCTCTGTTATTATGGACGACTCTATCCAGTCTTTTATGCGATTCTTTTTCTGCAGCCGATCGACATTCGTTTCGATTCCACAGTCCGCCAATGTGTACAGCAGGCGATTCTTCTCGTCGGGACTGCTGTGAAAGGAATACATTGAGGGGCATAGTTCGTCCGTCTCATATTCGGCCATCTCCTTCTCCGCCGTCTTGGCCAGCCAGCGATCGTCCATGAACTTTGTCAAATCTCCCAGACTCTTTGGCCTGTTCCCGCTGCGTGGCTCCAGGAAACGCTTAAACATGCGCTGCGCACGGGAGGTAAGCAGCTGTTCGAAAATAACAAGAAATCACATTTATATAGAAAATAAGAAGATTATTGAGAGATTGTTGAACTCTACCTTAAACAGTTTGGGCGTGCGTCGCAGCGGCATCATCATCATGCTGCCCTGCCACACCAGATAGCGGACATACCGTGGATCCTCCGAGGAGGCCTTCTGCCAGGGTAGACAGCCGGTCAGGCACACGAATATAACAATTCCGAACTGCCACACGTCGTGGCTGGGATCGGCTCTTGAGGGGAATACATGTATTAGCAGATTGTATATATAAAACATGTAGTATATATACTTGTAGGTGCCTTCGGGCTTCACTTCCAATACTTCCGGCGGACTGTAGGGCAACCATTCGTTGCGACGCTCCACTATGGTACCAGATTGAAAGGATTCACCGAAATCACAAAGTTTGACGCGTTGAAAATCCGAACGATATATGAGCACATTATCAAGTTTTATATCCCGATGCACTATGTCTCTGCAAAGAAGAGAGAGGTTTAGATCAACATTATCTAAAGCAACTAGAGAGGTTTTAGAATCTTCCACTGACTTTGAATGCATGTAATCTATTGCGGAGGCCAACTGTTTAGCTATGCGCTTGCTGTACACCTCACCTACGCCAGTTTCTGTCACATTTGATGTAAGATCACCTGAAAACAAAACAATATAATGCAATTTTGACTACTTGGTTAATGTCGATTCACCTACCCAGCGGTGCATATTCCTGGGTGAAGACATAGAAACCAGCCGTCTCGAAGGCCACATCGTATGTGGTGACAATATGCCGATGTACGCCCAAATGGAGTCCATAGTGAAATTCGCGATAGAAATCGCGCAACGTGACATATGGCTTGGGCACCGCCTTCAGTACCATTTCGGTTTGAGATCCGCGATGTTCCACCAACAATATCTTTCCGAACCAGCCTTCACCAACAATTTGGATGATGTCAAACTCATCCACAAGTTGTATCTGATTCGGGGAATAATTTCAAATGTAAAAATTGACTCTTTCTTAGAACAGATCTGTGGCACCTGCCCCAAATGATGCACCCCCACGAATTGAATTAGTAATTGCCCAATATTTATGTGTACATATATATCTATATGTATTCCGTATATGTGTAAGCGCACGACCAGACAAATTTAATGTTACTCTATTTTTGACATAATGCCCAGTCGCCGTTTGCTGCCCAATAAAATGAGTTTTTTCTTGGTAGCGTTAACTATTAGCTGAGCGAAGAGATTTTTGGCCTTGTGCCAATTGAAAGCAGTTCAAAATTGACGGGCTGACCGAAGCTGCAATACCCTACATAACTAATGAATGAAGTAAGGATATTAAAATAAGCAGACAAAATCAACTTTAGGTTTAGAAGCATTAAGTTTACATAAAAATAAAGTGTATAAGGTCTTCCACAAATTAAGGAATTTATATATATTCATTGATTTTCATTCCAATTTTGAAATCTTTGTTTTGAAAAATCATTCGTTTTCCTTTTTGAATCCAATCAGATTAATGTATATTAAATATAATGTGAATAAATTATTATGAGCCAAAACACGTGTGAATTAAGAAATATTATTATTTAATTGGGTGTTTTATTCGAGCGCAGAGGAGGGTATTCAAAACTGTTCGACAAGATGTATTTTGAAAGAAGCGAAGGAAATTTTGCTCTTTTTGGTACAGAGTCAATACAGCCTGTCTGAATATTCGCGTTATCAATCTTTCTGCCTGCTTATACTTTTTTTTTAAATAATTTTTCCGACCAAGTTTATTGCAGGCAAATAACACATAAGGAAGTTGAAGCGTGCAGCATCGCGTACAATTCCATACACACATGCGTGTATACACACATGTATGCATACACACACGCATGCATACACACATGCATGCATACACACATGCATGCACACATGCAGACATAGATACATATGCATGTGTTTATGTTTGCGTATGCAACGAGTTTTGTATAGTAACAATTGTAATAAAAACATATATTTGGCCTTATGATTAGATAATTAATTGATTAATTTTTATAATTAAATTTGTGATAGTTAAATGAAATAAATAAATAATTAAATGAATAAATTATTACTTGCATGTTTTTTATATATTTTTAGCAAAGTTGGAAATTCTTTTGAACTCTCAACTTAAGATGCTTTTGAAGTCGAAATGATTTCAGCTGAATATTGAAAATCTTGTTTGGGGCTGGTTTAGTAAACTATCTTGTTTATTATGGCATTTTGAAATGTTTTGATTGGTTTTAATTAGATTAACAACAGATTGATGGCATTGCAGATAGATGGATATTATGCACATTACCTTTTCCAATTCGAATTCTCGAATTTTGTGTATATGCCCTCGCGGTTTCTTCGACATTTTGACGTGAGTTTGCAGTTGAGTTCGGATTAGTTTGTTTCATGTATCTTCAATTAACTAATGAGAATGTTTCTTTCTGGAGTGTCCGATTTAGTTCACATTAATCTCATCAGTTCATGATTTAATCAAACTTATCTACACACCAGGCAAATATAGGGAATCGTTTTTCGAATAAAAGTTTATTTGATTTTCCCGTGTAAGCGTTGTAAATATTTATAGCGGCTGCACAAAGGCAATCAGTATATATATAGCATGTATATATGTATATATATACAGATAGCTATGCATGTATCTTTGTCGGCCTATTTTACATGTGTTTGTATCTTTATTCGCGCATCTGCAGCTGGTTCTTGGTGCTTGCTGCTTGCAGCTTAAAAGAAATTCATAAGATAAATAGCTTCTCGCTGCGTTTTCATTGTTTTGCACTTCCTGGAAAATGGGCGCCAAATATGTCAATTAAAATATTGCAATTAATTAGTTTATTAACTCTTTATCAAGATGCAGCACAACACGCACACACACGCACGCACGCTAACACACTTGCAGTTGCCGAAAATACCGTTCGAATTAGCTGCCAATCGGCTTAAGTTCAATGTTATTTCGCATTTAAATGTCTATACACACACACACACACACATACACACATATATATTTAGTTTAGCAGTTGTAGCTGTTGTTGTTGCTGCTGTTGTCAAACAAAATATTTAATTGAACCGTCTGGCCGACCGACTCACACACACACACACATACATATAGTACATGCAAATATCTCGTAAAGCTTGCAAATATAAATGTATTTTGTTTAGTTCAGACAGGTTTTTTTTTGTTGGTTTTGTGAAATTCGTCTCGTTTCTTTTCTATTCTTTTGCCTACACATTTGCATATTATCAACAGCGAAATTAAAAATAATGCCCGTTGGCTCTTATATAAAAACAAATCAACCGTATGTTGAACATATTTTACAAAGATATACAACTAGAGGAGAATATTGAAAACATTTTCCGTTAACTGACTGACTGTTATTTATAGATGTTAGAAAAGTGCAGTCCATTCGATTATTTAAATGTTCTCTTTTCGGTCTTTTCTCAGTGATCTTTTATTAAGTAAGTGCGTTGCACTTGTTCACAATGCGTTTTGTTTTTAAGTTCTGCAAATTCCGTGGCCGCATTCGATGAAAACCCGTTGCCAACTGCTCTCGACGCTCGCGACTTTTGTCGCTGGCCAGGAAAATGTATTGAAAATGTTTAAAAAAAGACATTTTGTTTACGCTGTTTTCATTTGAATTTTAGGCGTGTGTGAGCATTTTCGAAATAATTTTAAAGTTTTTTCTTCGAAACATATTTGAGCTTTCTGAGAACAAAAGATCTGGAGAGCGCGGCGCATAAATAGTTCTCTTGGCGAATGTACGAGATGTTATTGCAAAACTTTGATCAAATCGTACGTGCTACACGTTGAGGAAAATATTTGTGTTTGTTTTCGATTGTTTGGTCAATATTTGGATTAGCGAAATATTTGTTTCAATTTCTTGAACGGATAATACAAATAACAGTCTACCAGTTTACCAAACATATATATTTGCTGTGCAATTTTGAATATTCATTATTATTTTAATACATTATTTGCTTATTATTTCAATGCATTTGTCGCTTACTTAACAGAAATGCATAACTAGTTCTTAACAGAGCTCTGTTAAAAAGCTCAGCAACAGGCGGGCACACAAGCTCAACATAGCGCATGAAAAGCTTGCTGTGACATACAAATGCACATGTAAGCAACATGTACACACACACACACACATACACACATATATATATATATACATGGGTACATACGCACAAAGGCAACTCTAATTGGTCACTTCCGTTCTGAAGACGTTTCCTTGGCGCATGCGACGTTCAACTTCAGTAGTTGCTGCGTTTGACACACAGACAGCACCAGTTATATCTGTGTGTGTGTGTGTGTGTGTGTTTGTTGACAGTGTATGTGTGTGCCTGCTGGGAGGGTGCAGGTGCAGCCAACCACTTGTCGCAGGCTATAAAAGTCACTGACATACAGAAATCGCTTGCATACGTTTGAATGTTACCGTTAGCGCAACAACTGAATTATTTGCTGTTGCCCAATCTTCAGTTGTTCGAGGTATATTTTGGCTAGATGATGTACTACGGACAGTAAAATTATGTGTGATTGATGCCAGTAGCAATTTAAGTGTGAAAAGTATTGGGCTGTTATCGTTTAAAAGGGCTTTTAATAATCATTTTTGCATAATTTGTTCGGCAATTCGAGAAATCTTAAATATGGATTGGCAAAAGTGTGTGTTTTAAGCTTTGGAGTATAAAAGGTATGTAAAGTGTAAATTAAAAAAAAAAAAAAATAAAAATTGTGTTCTTGTTTAAGAGGATTAAATATGATTTAATTTGGTAATTCGCATGTTTTTATACTCGAAAATTGAATGAAACATGCATACATTTATAATAATAAATAATTGCTAGGAAATTGTTCTTTTACTACAGTGTCTTATTGTACAAAAGTATTTATAATATAAGATTAAAAATGTATCTTCTTTTTTTTCAATTACATTTTGAATGCCTAAAGGCTTCTGGCAAACTGTTAGCTCAGATTGGGTATATTCTTCCCAATTTTATTAAAAGTTAATAAACCTTAATTGATCAACTTTTTAGCACAGGCCAGTCAATAAATTATTAACCACAACAACTAAATATTTAATATTTAAGGAGTGTCAACTCTGTTATATTTTATTAAAAGTACGCAGATACATAAAAAATACAGTCCTTTTTATAATCGAGGTGCAAGACAAACATCTGTAAATGTTTCTGATGCAGATCTTATAGCGAGAGATTAAGAAACGAATAATTAATTCTCAAAATCGTTTTTGAAAAAACGAATAATTAATTCTCAAAATCGTTTTGTACAAAAAGAGTACAAGTCTCGTCTCGCTTGCAAATAGGAACAGAGCTAATTTAAAGATCTTGAGAGCTTCTCTCGTTCTAATTACTTAATTGAATCGTGAGCCTTGCCGGGCTTTAATTGAGTGCAGGCAGCTCTTGGGTTAAATTGGGCTAATGCGCGAACATTTAATTGAAGCAATTCATTTGTATACAGACAGACAAATGTGTATGTATATGTATATGCATATGTGTAAAAAATCAGATGCTTGGAAAACAATGAAAGGAAACTCAGATTTTTCGATAGACAAACGCAGGCTTTATGGTTGATATTTGTGCTGTAATTGTCAAGTGTTTGTGTGTGCGGCCGCCACACGTCGTATGCGTAATACACGAACAGGCACTTGAAGCTCTGGACTAGAGAGCGTGTCGTGGCCAAACCGAATTCAAGTGTTATGGACATTTCAGCAACACACACACACACACACACACACACACACACACACACACCTATACCCACACACATACAGCTCAATTGAGCATCAAGTGTCGGCTTAAACACTCAAGCAGCGAATCGAAATTGTCGTATGCCACAAACATACAAAAATTTGAATAGCATGTGGACAAAAAAACAGTTTGCACTGAAAGGGTTTTAATGCAGGGCTTGCATATTAATATGTAATTTATCTTTTGTTGCATATGTTTGTTAGACTTGAGTTGGCGTGCGACGGTGTTGGCAACTAAAACGACGACGTTTTGGCCAGGCAGACGGGCATCGTCGCAACGGCGATGTCATCGACCGGACAAATAGCAAAGACGTCCACGCCACACGACAACGATAACGATAGCATTAACGATCAGCGCGAAACATGGAGCGGCAAGGTGGATTTTTTATTGTCGGTTATTGGATTCGCCGTCGATTTAGCAAACGTCTGGAGATTTCCCTATTTGTGCTACAAAAATGGCGGTGGTAAGTACTTAAATCACATATTATCTCCAGCCTCAGCCCCAGCCCCAACTCGTTGCCAATTAGGCGCACAGTTGCGTTGAACAATGCCCACAAAATCATTTATAAGGCTTTACACATCATTGAGCGTCAGAAACTCAGCGCTCAGCGCTGAGTTGCTGCCATACCGCATAACAAGTGACTTGGCCTTGTTAACACTTTGACAAGTGCTGGGAAAATGCGTGCGAAGTGCTGCCATTAACTGGGCAGCGAGTGCCGTGGTGTACGGGGCGGCGGGGTGACGGTGTGGCTGTGGTTAGGGCTCCTAAGTGCGTACTTCCTATACGAAATTACCCAGAGAGTCCAGACACACACTCACACACACACACACACATTCATAAGCTGATACATATGCTTAGGACTTGTGATCCTCGTTGGCAACGCCATCATTCAAAACAATTTCAAAGTTAAGTGCTTTTGTATGACAACTAAATCTGGCAGTCATAATCGCATTTGGCCTCCTTTTGACTCCTGACAGCGAGTGACTAAGCATCGCTGCGAAGGGGTCGGCAGGATATGCTTCTCTAGGCTTTTATTGTTACTCGGCTACACACACACACAAATGCACACACATACATACGTATGTATTGGGCACATCAAAATCAAGACATATTTCTATAATACGCATTGTTGGAGAATTCATGTGCGGCACACGTTTTGACGGCGGCACTTAGGCGTTGATATGAATTTTCATTCGTAAATCAGGATGTGTGAGTGTGTGTGTGAGTGTGTGTGTGAGTGTGTGTGTGCTTGTTTGTGTCTGCGAGTGCCTTTGCTGGTTGGCTTTGCCTTTATAGTTTTATGACTATTTCATATAGTATTTTGTTGTCGCTGTTGTGATTGTTGCTGCTGCTGTTGCTGCTGCTACTGGCCTTTGCTATAAGCTTTTTTCTCAGCTCTTAAAAAATAAATTGTTATTTCATACGCTTCATTGCACTCAATCAGTGACAGCTTAGTTTTCATTTTATATAATATTTTGCTGCTGCTGCTGCTGCGGCTGCTGCTGCGGGCGTTGCCAGGCTTAAGTTGCCGCTGCGGCAGTTGCCCCACAGGTTGCGATTATTAGCTTTTAATGCCCCCAGCTTAGTGGGCATTTAATTTTTTCTCTCCTTTTGTCTTTTACAACAGCCGATGAAATACCTTGACTTGAGCAGGTTATGCTCACAATTTCATAAGCCTGACATACATTTAATATACATAAGATACCTAGGCTTACCTTTTCTATTTTACTTTATGCCTTATGCTTTATGTTTTATTGTTTAAGGTTCCGAATTGTAAATGTAATATGTAATAAATAATAATTCTTTATAAATATGTGTTTTATAACAAATTATAGTTTTCCTCGTTTTCTTTGTTTGAAAGGATTGGCTAGATTGAAACTTTTATGCATTTAAGCTGTCGTTTTGTGATAATTAAATATGGTAGAAATAGACAATTATTGATACGTTTTCATGTACTTCAAGAGTATCTATTCCTTGGTACATGCAAGCGGGTATGTTTTTTCTTTTATTTTCTATAATACTCTTAGAATAATTATTTTGCCTAAGACCCCATTCGATTCGTAACTTAAAAAAGAGCGGAAAGACAAAGCTTTTAAAAGTCGCAGACTATTATAAGCTAAGCTTTAATATTTGGTAGATTAACTAACATTAAAGAGTCGTCTCGTAGTTCGCCTGGAGACCCAACCCAACTGGAGTACTCTTCAAACACACTCTTGGCATACTTGTAATTGTGAATAAGTTAAGCAGCTGATAATCATATATATGTAAATAATGTATTCTTACTCTAAATCGTAGTATTTTGTATTGCCTAATTTTCATATTTTGCGGGTGGCAACTTAAAGCTGTTAAATTGACTAGATAACTAGTTTAAATAATCAATTTGCAGGCTTCTTTGTGCTAAAAATAGCTCTGGAAAAACCGGAAGTGTTGGGCGAGGCGACGGAAATTACAGCTTCAGCAACAGAGCTGCATTTGATTTTAAGATCCTTATCTAGTGGGGTATTATTTTACGTTTTACGTTTTGTTTTACATTTTCAACATAATTGACAGGCACAGTGTTCAGGCGCCTCTTTTTTTTTGTTAGCTAACTCGTATGTGTGTGTGTGTGTGTGGGCGGGTGTGTAAGGGGGTGTGTGTGTGAGTGTATTCATAATGGCCGTTGTCAATGTAGTCGTCGTAGTTGTCGTCGACTTTGTCGCCCACTTTGCCTGCTAATAGACATAATCAAATCATAAAACGCCCCGCTGTCACTCAACAAAGTATCGATGGCACTTTAGCAATTGCCCGGGCAGGCGGAGCTGGCGGAGCGAACCGACCACGTCGACTGCATGAGACAGCCGAGCCGAGCCGGAGCCGGCGCAGAGCGGAGCGAGGCGGTCCATACTTGTCCCTGTGCCCATGTCCTTATGTATGTACGCTTGTCCCATTGCCAGCCGGGATGCTGTTAATGTTTTTAAAATGTCCTTAGAGTGGCACTTGTGAAACAATTTGATTTTGTGTGTGTATCTGTGCGCTTGTGTGTGTGTGTGTGCCTCTGTGTCTCTGTTCGAGCCATAGAGCGACAAAAACAGACACTGACACGGGTCAATCGCACACACAACCACACCCACGGCCACACACACACACTCGCATAGACACACCCATCACACATTGTTATTCATAATATTTATAGTGCCTCGGGTGTTGTTAAATATTATAAAACTTGATTGCGCTTTAATCACAACGGCGCTGCCCAATCGAAGTTTGCTGAAGCCAAATCTCATTTCCCAGTTAATGTATCGGTTATTAAATGAACTTTGCCATGGGGTCAGAGATTGACATAGAATTTTTCCTTATTGATATTATCATGTTAATATAATTATAATTATTATTTTTAAATATATTTATATATATTAATATATGGCAGCTATCAAGTGAAAGATACTGATATACTATTCTGGAAGCTAAGATAAGCTCGTACTGGGCAGGCACTGAAAGGACCTACCCTTAAAATTTCGAGTATCTAGTTCTTACAGATTGTGAGATCGACACACAAACGGACGGACGGAAAAACGGATTCACAGGTGGAAAGGCGGAAGGACAGACAGATCGACGGAAGGAGAGTTGGGCGGAGAGAAGTACATAGAGACAGACGGATAGACGGGCAGAGAGACGGACGGAGGGACGGACGGAGGGACGGACGGAGGGACTGATGGAGGGACGGACGGATAGACGGACGGACGAAAAAACGGGCGGACGGGGAGATGGACGGACGGAGAAACGGACGGACGGGAAGATGGACGGACGGAGAGACGGACAGGAGGACGGAGAGAAGGACTAATTACAGTATACTGCAGATGTTTAACTGCCTGCGAAACATAGATACATCAAACATTTTTTAAAATTTAAATTATTCGAATTTTAATCTAACGACAATGTCCAAATACATACTCAGAATCGAGTCAAATCTGAACTAGATATGGTTGACATTCATGTGCCGGATGAGGAAATTTGCATCGATGATGGATAGCTTGATTAGATAGCTTTCAAGTGAGCAAACTGTCGGTGAACTGAAGAGTTTGTTTAAACATTTCTAGCAGCGGGCCTAAAAGAGTTTTAAGAAAGGATGTTGGATAACATATAAAATATATGCATATATTTGCAGGCGCCTTTCTTGTGCCCTACTGCATTATGTTGGTTGTGGGGGGCATACCTCTATTCTACATGGAACTGGCCCTGGGTCAGCACAATCGTAAGGGCGCCATCACCTGCTGGGGGCGTCTGGTGCCGCTATTTAAGGGTGAGTAGAGAAGGGAATATACATAAATATTTGATGCATATACGACGATATATACTTACATATATTTTAGGCATCGGATACGCTGTTGTGCTAATAGCTTTCTATGTGGACTTTTATTACAATGTGATCATTGCGTGGTCGCTGCGTTTCTTTTTCGCCTCCTTTACCAGTGTGCTGCCCTGGACGTCGTGCAATAATCCGTGGAATACGCCCAACTGCAAGCCGGTAAAATCAGCGCAGTTGATATTAATTTATTTATATTCACCTCTTGCTCATCGCAGTTCGAGGGCCAGAATTCGCGCCCGCTGGTTGGCAATCTGAGCGATTTCTATGCGTTCAACAATCAGAGTCTGTTCTTTGCCAACGAGTCGTATGCGAATGTTACATTTGCCAGCTTGGCACCCGTTGTGCCCGTCGAGAGATTCCAATCGGCCGCCTCCGAGTACTTTAAGTAAGTGGCACACACACACACACTCATACACATTTTGGACTCAATTTATATCCTATTTACAGCCGCTATATACTTGAGCTGAATCACAGCGAAGGCATCCACGATCTGGGCAAAATCCGTTGGGACATGGCGCTGTGTCTGCTTATTGTTTATCTGATTTGCTACTTCTCCTTATGGAAGGGTATTAGCACTTCGGGTAAAGTGGTCTGGTTTACGGCGCTCTTTCCGTATGCGGTGCTGCTTATTTTGCTAATACGCGGCATCACCTTGCCGGGCTCTGCCATGGGCATACAATACTATTTGAGTCCAAAATTTGATGCCATATTCAAGGCTGAGGTGTGGGTCGATGCGGCCACTCAGGTGTTCTTCTCCCTGGGACCGGGCTTTGGTGTGCTGCTCGCCTACGCATCTTACAACAAATATCACAACAATGTCTACAAGTATGTCCTAATTTCTATTTATATTGTATTCAATGTGTTTTTTATGAGCTATGTATTTTACAGAGATGCTCTGCTTACCAGTTTTATAAACTCGGCCACGAGTTTTGTGGCCGGCTTTGTGATCTTTTCTGTGCTGGGTTACATGGCGCACACATCGGGCGTACGAATCGAGGATGTGGCCACCGAGGGTCCGGGTCTGGTGTTTGTTGTCTATCCAGCGGCCATTGCTACGATGCCGGGCAGCATTTTCTGGGCGCTCATCTTCTTCATGATGCTGCTAACCCTCGGGCTGGACAGCTCGGTGAGTATTCAATGCGTCCAGTAGGTCAGTTAACTCCAATATGCTTCGCTCTGCTGCTTTTGACAGTTTGGTGGATCGGAGGCTATTATCACGGCTTTAAGTGATGAGTTTCCCAAGATTAGGAGAAACCGTGAACTCTTTGTGGCCGGGCTGTTCTCGCTGTACTTTGTCGTTGGCTTGGCCAGCTGCACCCAGGGCGGATTCTACTTCTTTCATTTGTTGGATCGCTATGCCGCCGGCTACTCCATACTCGTCGCGGTGTTCTTTGAGGCGATCGCCGTTTCCTGGATCTATGGCACAAAGCGTTTTAGCGATGATATCAACGACATGATTGGCTTTCCGCCGGGCATGTATTGGCAGGTGTGCTGGCGCTTCGTTGCACCCATTTTCCTGCTCTTCATCACGGTTTACGGCCTGCTGGGCTACGAGCCGCTCACCTACGGGGATTACGTGTACCCCAGCTGGGCAAATGCCTTGGGCTGGTGCATAGCCGGCTCCTCGGTGATTATGATACCGGCGGTGGCCATTTACAAGCTCATTGTTACACCCGGCAGCTGCAGGCAGCGTTTGCGTACTCTCACAACTCCTTGGCGGGATCAGCAGCTGGCGGCGGTTAATGGAGTTACCACAGAGGTGACTGTCACACTGGTGCGTCTGGCTGACGGCGAGGCGGATGATGCTGCCGATGTCTGAGTTCGACCGATTGCACGCTTTCAAGTGTATTACGTATAGATTTGAAAGAGATTTACCAACAACTTTTACACTAACATCTACCATGACATCAACTTTAACATCAACTTGAATGTGTGTGTTTGTAGCCTGACGTCGGCTAGAATTGATTTATGTTTAACTTTCAGCTTGGCTCTTAGGCAACAGGCACCTAGGAATCTAATGCAAATTTCGCATACAACGTACTTACTTAGGTTTCGACACCAAAGAAAAAAAAATAAGAAAAATGTTGTAGCTCAAAACCATAAGCCTACAGTTAAGATTAGCCCGTAGTTTCATGTTGCGCTGCATTTACACTAAATACACCCTACTCATATATATACTACATATAAATATATAGTACACAATATTATGCATACATAAAGGTATGTTTGTATATTTACCAAAACGCTGTGTAGATAATACAGAAATATTTAAGTAAACAAAAACGAAATTGTAATTGTTAAATTGATATTGCACTTAGCCAAGTTTGTGTGCAACATATGCAACAGGGAATTAAAGGTACGATTCACTCTCAAGATCCCCAAATGGATGTCAGAGTTTGTGTATGTACAGACCTAAATAGCTTTATTATATAGTGCGTATAGCTCGAATGTCTGTTTAGCCGAAGCTTTAGCCAGAATGTGTTATGTATATAGGTTTAAGCCATCAATAGCTTACCTAGATACCAATTTGTAGTTTTGTCAAGCAAAAAAGAGTACAGAACATCCCTACCAAATACTTTTTATATGCTTAACTCAGGCAAAGTCTTTTTCACACAGCCATAAAAAGATATTGCCATAATTTATAGAATTTACATAAATTCTGATTGTTTTCTGTTAACACCCGTTAGAAAATTTGTATCTAATTTGTAGCTAAATTTTAAGTGTTATCATAAAAACAAAATGTTAAAAGACAAAAGCAAAGTTGGCAGCCATCAACTTTGCTTTGAATTTATGATTGTGTTGAACAAGAGTTGATTTTCAATGCATTTTCACGCAGCCATGTGAAAGTGCAGTGTGATGAACAAATATCAAATGTATTCAATTTATGCTCAGTTGTTTTATGTTCTATTAAATAAATGTATTTTAAGTTGGAATAACAAAAAGAAACGTGTGTTATTATTATTGGAGATGATAAAATGAGAGTCGGCTGCTAAGCAGCAAAAGGCGCAGTCATGAAATTGACGTAAAAGGGGAAATTCCTGCTGAATTCTTAAACTATTGTTGAACATTTCAAAACTAAATTCATTTCAACAAATTTTGCTATATACACTATTTGAGAGAGGCCTCTTTTTGAGCATAAAGAAAGTAGGCCGTTTGTCTGTTTTCCTTAAGGAGACAAGCTCCACATTTTTCATATTTGCAAGATGAACAATATTAAATTTTAATTTAGTTACATGGGAGCTACAAGCAATGTTGCGTTAAATTATTAAATATACTTTAGAAAGTTAGAAGTTGCTTTGTACATACCTGTGATTTACTTTTCCAGTGCTTGCAATCAAAATAATTATCTTGCTTTTATTTAATCAATGATTTTCAAACAGTTTCTTTCAGTTGCATATTTAAGAGCATTATTTTATTATTATTATTATTTCATAATTCATTTTCGTCTAACTCTCATTTAAACGAATACATTTATTAAGTTCATATATTTGGAATATAAAAATTGCAAATCAATCATACGCACTATCATAAAGTAAATGGTTAATGGGTGGGATATGACTTTTTTTAAACGGAAATTTATAGATGAAAGTTAAATGTTTACATTGAAAGCTGAACGCATGTGGATGAATGTAAATGTATCTGAATTCGTAAGCAGCGTTCTTTTGTCTTGTTTTGTGTGCGTTATATATATTTAAAAATAACAATATATGTGTCTGCACGGCTTAGAAAACGTACATAGATATTCCCTATAAAGGTTTTAGCTCAATAAAATATGCATTTAGCCGTTTCCAGTAATACTTTTATGTGTGATACGTATGCCGGGATGCTAGCGCCTTATTTGGTATGCACAGATTATTTTTTTGGTATTTGTTGCGGTTGCTTTAATACCCTTGCAGAGTATGACATATATGTAGCAAATCAATAAATATAGAAGTATGCCGATCTGAGTCAATGTAGTCAAGTCCTTGTACATATCTGAATGGATAACTATACTCCATTGTTACGATGAATATTCAAAGACTAGTTCAGAAGAAATTGCATTGCATTCAAATATTTTGAATTCAGCAAGGGTATTTAATCTTCGGCAATCCGAAGTGAACCATTTTCTTGCTTGTTTACGTATGCTGTTAAAAAATAGTTTGCGACAGGACAATTATTTCTTTTGTGCTTTTTATTATATTGATTATTTGTAGTGCATTTTACGTATTTTGGTCTGTTTAGGTGCCTTAAAGGGGGGAAATTGGTTGAAGTTCTTAACGAAGAAACATTTGAAAAGAATGTTCAGCCTCTAAGCCTTGTGTCAGGCATGGAAACTGCGAATTGAATGAATTGTTAAATACCCGAAAAATGCCTGAACATGCTCGGCTTGTTATTAATTAGTACTTTTACATATGTATATATATATAATATATATTGTTTTGTAACTTGGTATACAGTAGTTTAATTACTTCAATTATTTTGTAAATATGTATGAAGTCTGTTCTAATATTCGATCATTCAGTTACCGCTTATACAAATTTTACTATGTGATTCGTTAAGTTTCTTCTGCAAGGACTTTTCGCTGGCTTTTGTGGTTGTAAATTTGCAGTCTACGTAAATAACTTCTTTTTTTTTTTGTATTTTTGCCTGGCTGAATGCGTGTATAATGTATGAATATATATGTATGCAACTGTTGCCTAAAATACCATTGCACAAGTATGGAAGTTTAACTAATAAACGGACGCAGTTTTAATAACTTCAAACCAAATGATAAAGCAGCAAGGGACATAATAATAATAAATAAAAATGTAAGCTAGTGCTTAACTATGAAATAGTCAAGGGTTTTATTTATGTTTGATTAATTTTCAATGCTGGTTTCAAATTTCTAGCAATGACTTCAGAAAAATTGACTCACTTGCTGAGCCGTAAAAATACGAGTTTTTTGGAATTGGAACGGAACACAATATTAAGTCATTTTTATTTATGCCTGCGCGGCCTTTGACTCAAAGGACACAGATAGGATGCACTGGTATATGATCTTCAGCAAGCCGAAGTACTCTGATGAATTATGGTTCAGTGTATATATATGGAGTTGTTTCCGTGGAAACTTGCAATATCCTGTCACATTTAGCTTTGTCTTGGGTGCACCTGTATCTATGTGTGCACATCTACAAGTGAGTACGTGGGCTTGATAATTGTTAATTGATATTTTGATATGATTGCGTTGATGAGTTGCGTTTACAGTTTCTGGCATGTGTTTACTTGGAATCCAAGCAAACACACGATTGCGAATATATATATAAATATATGAGCATATATTAAATATTATTAAGCTGTTTCGACTGTCTTAGTTTGAGTAAAACTGATTTGTGTACAATAAATCAACCATTTGTTCCACTGGAAATGCTTAATGAGTATGAGCAACAAATATTGTTATGTTTCTCTAGTTGTATGTTTTTGTAGCATTGTTTTGTTTACTTGATGTTATGGATGTGTATTCGCTCAATTGAAAGACACATTTGAATTGACGCACGACATGTTTATGAGCCATAATTACTCGCATATATCTATATATATATATATGTGTGTACATATAGTATATATTTACAATGGAATTACTTAAATTGAGGCTTGATTTAAAATCTAGTATGAATACGAATGCGAATTTCGGTGGCTGTCTGTGTGTGTATGTGTGTATGTGTGTGTGAGTATGCATATTTAAATATTATGCATCTAGATTAAAATCAAATTTGAACTTTTGTTCATGCGCCCAAATGAGATGCATGCTTATAAAATAATAGATTAATGATTTAATATTTAAGAAGCGCAACAATTATTGAATAAACAACTAGTTGTAACATTAGAATTTTCATTAAAATTGAAAATTATATTTTCACTATAATGCACATCGTTTTCATTCATTTATAATGTTGTAGTTGACAAAATAATGAGCTTTACTCAATTCGATTTCGATCTCTCGATTTCAGATGACAAAGTCGCTTTCGTTTCGTGATTAGAGTACTTGGATAAAGCCTAAGGTAGATAAATCAAATACGTATCTAAGTGTAATTTCTAATTGTTCAGATATATATATGTATATATATGTATATAAACGTATCGACAACTTTAACTGATTATAGGAAAGAAGCCTAGAGCACGCTTAAGTTTACATGTGTTGCACCAAGAGATTTCACATTAATTTTATCATTCTATAATTTGTTTTATAATTATTATGATTTATATGCATGTATGCGAGTGTGTGTGTGTGTGTATGTATGCAAATGTTTACATTAATTAGTATATTCGGTATATCAAATCTAACTGAATATTTAGGCTAGTCAATTTTAACTAATTCCATAATACATACAAAACATTTGTTTACTTACACACTGCATAATTATAGCCTGTTTACGATAAATAGCTTACATACTTATATAATTGATGTGTATTTTTGAAATACAACTTGTTGTTGCTCAGCTTATAAATGTTTTGATTCTGCATATATCAATCAATATCAATCTAGCCAAGCTTAGGTCTGCTGTATGGAACTCAAGAAAGCCGGATCCACGGAAGCAACCTTGGCGGTGAGGAACGCGTGCATGCAAAATAGCAAGCTTTGCAATACCTGGCACTCTAATTCCTAGTAAATGATAGAATAAATTATATGAATTATGTATAGCTAACAGCTAGCTTGATTACGATTAACCAGTTGAAGTGTCTAAATATAGTCATAGCATACGTAACTTGCCTTTGTTTCGATGGCCCGCGTCTCATTGTCCTGAAAATGTAGCTTCAACTTTGATTTGCCATCGTCGCTGGAGCCGCGCAACTGTGAGAATTTATACTGCCAGACCATGGTGGAATCGGCGCCCTCTGTCAGTGAGAAACCCGCCTGCCAGTCAAGTGTCAGTCCGCCACTTTTGCCGTGATGTGAAACGGCAAAGGTCTTGCGCTAGAAATGTGAGCATATATATACATATATATATATACATATATATATATATAGATGTTGATATAGATATAGCTATAGATGTAGTTATTAGCTGGATACAATTGTGGGCGGGCTGCACACTTTATTGATTGAAATCAACTGCTAATATATTAAGTATACGCTCCATCGGACTCTAATAGCTGACGCACTTTCAATACCAATATTCTAGCCACAAAAAACAACACAGTACAAAAGTTCAATAATCCCTTTGTGTCCTGTCTGTGTTCTCGACGTAACAATTGCGAATTCGTATCGATTCTGGCGTTTGCCAAAATGTCCTTTTTCTGTGTGCGTCGCTTTTGTCGGTCATTGGCTTTGCTTTGACTTTTTAACGGCTAACAAGTGTTGTGTATACACACAGCGAGGGGTGAGAGAAAAACTTGCAACATTATACAAAATGTCACCAACTTTTTGGCAATCATTTTTTTAGATAAGAGTAAACACGAACTTTTACTAAAGTTTGAAAATCAGCACGAGCTTCTAAATAATTTATGTAATTAAAAAAGCAATAATGATAATTGCTGCTTTAAATTTATGAACTTATTTTAGCAGATTGAAATTGAAATGGAGCAGAGCCTGTTGCTTATGGATTAAAGGATAAAATCTTATATTTTTATGTTACTGCAACATTTGAATACTCGAATGGGCAGTTCTTATGTACTCATATCGATTGCCCTTGAGGTCAGCAGCCATGGCCTTTAGCTCAATGCCAATTAAGGCGAGTGGGGTGGGGGGAGAAAGAGTGGGGGGGAGGTGTCTTGTTTATAAATTAACAAGCAATCGGCAATCACGATACTCTTCGTTTGCATAGTGCCTAGCCGGGCGGCTAATTACAAACAAACATGCGAAATTATCAACAGGGGAACAAGGCATGTGCATATATGTATAGGAAAGTCGATGCATTTAATGGAGGTCAGGGGAACAGGTCAACCCGTGGTACTTACCCCCAATTTTATAACACTGGTCACTATGGCCGCGTTCCAACTGTTCTCAATGCGCAGCAGCTCCTGACGGGTCTCTACGCTCAGATAGCGTGGCTCGTGTCCAGAGCTTTGCAGCAGGAAGCAATGCTGTCGACTGTCCACGGTCTCGGATTCCTTAACAATGCGAAACATGGTCTGGTAAACCTTATAGACCACCAGCGCCTTGCTTATGCCTGCCACATTCAGCTGCAATAAAATGATTTTGTTTTATCCAATTGCAAATGCCAAAAATTTAATGCCATAAATTTACAGCCCCAAGAAACGGGCTTAACACAAGTAATCTAATTTTAAAGAGCATTAAGTGCACATATCTGCTGGCAATCAGTAGACTATGCACTGTCGCGGGCGGAGGGAAGGTGAAAGGAGCGGTAAAATCTATGCAGAACATGGCACATGCCGTGGGCCAACATTTTATGAAAGTTGCATTTGCAGTGCAAAGGCTGCTCATTAGAGCAAAAGTACAATTTTCATGCACGTGTGTATCTCTTTGTGTGCGAGTGCGAATGTGTGTGCCTGCGTGTGTGTGTGTGTGGGTTGGACTCATGTGAGTGTGCTGGGCGGTGGGTGGTTCTATCTTGACACATAAAATTAGCGCAGCGTAGAGTGCAGTTGCGTTGAACAACTTTAGGCAAATGTGCACACGGTGCGCGCCAGAACAAAGCCGACTGCAAATGCAGCCATATCCAATTACATTTGAGCCCATAATAAGGCTGACAATTTCAGGTGAGTAAGTGAATACAAATAAGGTACGCACATATTAGCTTTAAATTAAATACAAAAAATTAAAATTACAACTATTTTAAGGCAGCAATATTTAAAAATGTAGAAGCTGAAATTGTTGAAATTTAAATGATGTGTAGAATGTTTAATATACACTCATGTATGTCATGTAAGTATTTCCTTAAACAATTCCCTGTTATTTGTTTCATGTATAAGCTTTAAATGAAACAAATAAATTTGTATTTTAAAATTGCCCGGTCTACTGCAAATATTGCAGGCCTTACATATTTGCATATACATTTAATTTCTAACCACAATTCGCATCTAGCAAATATTGTTAGATAATTGCAATGGTTGGAGCCACAGTTATTTATGCATTGGGCATAGTTGTTGCTCCAAAAAAGCAAATTATTTTGGAAAAAAACCTGTTAAATTTAGGTAAATTTAGGAAATTCAAAAACTTGTAATACTATATAATAATAAAACTAGAAAATTCAATAATGCCGAAAAATGAAATTTTAGTTTACAGCTAAAATAAAAGTTAATTGAATATTTACACAGACTTACCGGAGGCGTTTCGAATAGCATCACTTCTGTTCCTTTGAGCACTAGAAATCTGGGCTTATAACTTTGCCACGATATGTTGTTATTGATAACACCCTCGTTCACCCAGCCCATGTACTCGATTCGCTCGCCAACGGCAAAGTTTCGATTATAGAGTTTCATCTGTTCAAGAAATAAAATAAATTTATTTGGAAATATGAAATGGAATTACTTCAGACAGTTGAAGGAATGTTACCTGCAGATGGGTCAGACCCACCACGTTGTCGGTTATCAGCTTTAGCCACTGACTCAGTATCGCCAGCTCATCACAGTGTATGACCCCGGTGGTGACGCCGTTCAGGCCACGCACCTCGAAGGCATTGGGACGCAGCTTGTCGGTGCCGTAGATGTAACGCGTCACATAGGCCATCATTAGCGGTACTAGAGAGACGAGAAATAGAGGTTGAGCTCAAGTGGGTTGGTTTGGTTGTGAGCTCCTACCTGCCACCACGTCGGTCCAGCGCTTCTCGGGCTCGGAGCAAATTGACATGGGTCGGCTGCAGCTGCGGCTTATGGTGCCGCTGTTCACGGAGGACTTGTAGCCCTCGTCTGCTTTTAGCTCGGCGCATGTGACATCGTTGTCGGAATCTGGTGTATCCTTTGTTACTATAAACATTGATTGAATGTTGTTAATGAAATTCGTTATGTTTGTCATTTCTGTGTGTGTGCTGCTCACATTGCTTCTGCAGGAACGGTGTGGCGGCGCGGTAGTGCTTCACTGTGAGGACCACAATGTCGCCGGCATTGCGCAGTATGTTGACCGCATCATCGTGCGGGCATGCAGTTATATATTCGCCGTTAACCTTTATAATGGCATCGCCGACAAACAGCTGGCCGGTTATGTCGGCCGCCTGATCCTTGTAGATGCGCGATATTAATATGGGCAATTTATGTTCGGCGCCACCCTTTATGCTCAGTCCTAGGCCGCCCTGTTTTTGTCTCGTTATTTGCACCATGCGCTCCTGAAATGTTCAAGGATTGTTGGCCATGTTTACACAGATTACGGCTAAGTGTTCTTAATGCATAGAGCCAAAGTTTATTAACATACCTTGGATTCCATTGGGGGTCCATTGTGCTGTGAGCTTGTTGGCGTAACAATTTCCAACTTTTGCAAGGTCAACAATTCCATTGTTAGACTTAGTCTGAGAGGTTCTGGTCTACTTTTGCCATCGCTGACATGAACCATGCCCGAGCGCACCTGTTGCATATCATTTTTGTTTGGTTTTTTATGATTAATGAGCATCTGCATAAGTATTCTAGAGTTTTTTCAACTTTTGGGCATACCTTCAAGTTTTGATCGAGTTTTTCCTCAATCGGTGTCGCCATTGTGTCCGAGAGCTTCATATTTTTTGTTTATCCAAGTTTTGCTTTAGGGCGCATAAACAAGCATTATTTATTAAAACTCTATATTGTCTCATGTTTCCGCACACAAACTTTTGTAAGTTGGAAATAAATATACAGTAAAAGCTCGCTACAGCGGACAGCGAACATCGCGTGATTTTTGTCTGCTCAACAGAAGTCGAGAGTCAAAACAAGAAGAGTCGAATTGATGGAGCATATACTAATAATTGAATCATAATTGAATGTTTCCACAAGAGAACTGTCCGCCTAATAGGAGTGCCCATTGGGAGAGTTTTCACTGTAGTGTGAATTGATAATAACTGCGAAAGTTTGTGCAACGAGCAGAAGCAGGCGTATTCTAACATACTGAAATAAATGGCTACTCTTTTAAGAATATGTACTCAATCCCATGTTTTAGCTTAAGCTCCGACATTATAAAAGCTAAACATACAAAAATTGGTTCTAATTGGGCCGGTTGGCGTTTGAGATAAGGTTCCATAATGTTATTTTAAAAATTTATAAGCAACATTAAAAATGAAATTAGTGCAATGTCTTTTAAACCTGCTTACAGGGTATCTCCCAGTTGTGTACCTTCATCTGTCAACCCTTGTTAAGCTCTTGAAATGGTAAGATATAAAAAATATAGCTAACAATAATTGAGCATTAATGAACTCAAATCCTTCAGCACTTATTGAATATCGAAACTAATCCTAGAAACCGATATGGCTTAACAATGATTGCAATTTTAATTAGTTGCGATTGTATGGCATTGCAATTTATGTTTTGACCCAGTTAATAACACCCACATGCACACCCACTATAGTTGAGAGGGTGTGTGTGTGTGAGTATGTGAGGGCTTAATGACGTGTTTTATCTATAGTCGGTCTCAGAGTTACATTAGACAGACGGACAGAGGGGTAAATGTTGCTCGGGTAATGTCAATATAAACTTTATTTTGTCTATTTTATAGAATCGCAAATCAGCCGAATGTCGCTTATTAAATATTGTATTTAATTTACATTTGGAACAAAACCGCAACAAGCAGCAAACAATTGACAGAGGAATAATAATAAATACACATATCGAATTTTGGTATGGTCAGCAAATAGAATAGTTGGGGATGAGCAATAACCTACCCCACAGTGTCTAATAGAAGCAGTATATATTTAGAACGATATCGGCATATATATGAGTACATATGTTTTCAATTAAAACGAAAATAAATATGCAACCGAAAAACATTATATTACAAATGACTGAAAATACAGACGCGATTTAAGTGCTCTGTCGGGACTTCGAGTGTGTCTGCAGCTGGCGAAGGAATGAATAATACAAAAACAAAAGCAACACAAGTGCCGACATAAATACATAAATATATACATATGCACGTATGTTGGCAGGCGTGTGTATTGAGGTGTTGATAAGTATGACTGGCGTATGTGCACACCACTTTCACTGCCCTGGCACACACCCCACACACACACACTCCCATTCTCATTGAGCATGAAAACAGATCCCCTCAATCTATTTGAGTGCCTGTGTTTGAAAGCAATTCTGGGGAAAACAGGTGTTATTCCATACGCTCAACACACGTCGCTATTAAATGCGGAAACGAATGAAAAGTAAAAAATCTGATTTTTCAATTCCAGCGAATTGTATCTGTAAATAATATAAATAACAATGGTTACCCGGAAACCGACATTCGTGTGTCGAATAATTACTATTGCAATATGCCTGGCAACCGAGTTTAAAGGCAACCAACGGAACACACCAAAAACTGTGGGGTTGAAGATGCTAACCGAAACACATAAATATTTCATTTGAGCCCATTCAGCTGGCCTGTAAAACTTGCAAAGTACCATCGAGATGATACAATTTATGCACTTACCACAGACACACACGCACACAGCACACGTGTGTGCGTGCCACTCCGAGCTGTTGACCTGGGCTACGGCAACGGCGATGGCTAAGGCGATGGCTACGGCTACCTTTGATTATGGCTATATTACGTGTACTTTGTCGTGTGGCGTGTGCGTGTCTCGAAACTCGTTACGTTAGCCAGCAGTCAGAACACAGTGGCTCCCTTTTGTGGGTGGTGGTGCTGCTGGTGGTGCTCGCTCTCTGTGGCTCAAACCAAACAAGCCAACATGTTTGGTGAAAGCTGCGCTGCTCTCGCTTGGAGCGCCGTTGACAATCAGCTGTGCTGGTTAAAAGAGCAGCCCGTCCGCCAGCCAAGGGAAACTTTTGGGGGCTGAAGTATTGCACGCACACACACGCACACACAAATCTTACATATTTATGTGTCACTTAAATGCGACTAAAAATGCACAAGCTGAGCAATTCACGTACAACGCACAACAGTCAGGAAAATTGTACAACTTTATTGTTATTGCATGTCGCTAAATATTCGCATGATTGCAAATGCATTTATGTTTGATTTTTCTCTGCTAATCAAATACTTTTGAATCACGTTCGGAATTGGGTCACATTTTGGTTAGATTGTTAGATTTTGTGCATTGATTCGATTGTTATTCGCCTTGCAATTGATTAACTAACGTTTCGAGCAATCAAAACTCGTATAAGTATGCTAACATTTTTTAATGTTCACTGTTTTCTTTGCTGCTTTTTCCCTCCTCTTGCTTCACTTCACTGTGCTTTGAGTTTCAGTTGTTGTTTTTTCTGCCTTCCGCTTCCGCTCGTAGCACAACGTTTTGTCAGGCTGTTCGCGAACGCACTGAAACTCAATTGTAAGTGAAGTCAAATGCGTGCCAAGAGAGCAATTCGGGCACAACCTCTCTCTGTCTCACCCACACACACACACACGCACAAGCACACATAATCACATGTGGGAGGGCATGCACATGATAGCTTTGCAACTTGGCACAGCACACGCAGCGTTGCCACCCCGTTTGCGCATTCTATTTTGAATTTTAATTGCTTAAATTGTTTTGAATGCTCCGAGACTAAACATTATTAACAATTATTACTCCGATTTCTTTATTAATTATAAATTATTAAATTTACGAAAATTACGAAAGACCTAAATACATTTGGCTAAAGCACCAGATGTCTAGAGTAGCTGCTCGATAAAAGTCCCTAAGAAGCGTTGTGCCAAATGCAGCAGAGCTTAAAGCTCCATGCACCGTTCACTTAAGCTTTAGTATGCTATTAAGTTTTGCTCCTTTGTTGGCCTTTGAGAAAGCTTAAGCGAAAGTTTAGAATTGTTTATAGCAAAAAATTATAAAAAAATAAGTTTTAGATTAACAGGCTATTCACAACTTTTCTATGAAATATCAGAGAATTAAATAATAATAAAATCGCTTAATAAAAAACACAAATAAATTCCTTTTTAACTACACGAAAAAATAAATAATAAAAATAATGCTTGTTTTCCTGCAAAAAAAGCTCGCTCTTATATTCCGTTAGAAAATTGTTAACATAGCTTTTGTGTCAAAACTAAGTTCCCAGCTTGCTTTGAGTTGCTTTAGTTCAGAAATGAGCACACAGGTGGCGCTTTAAGAATTATTGAGTAGTTGAATTATTATTGAGTATAATGGTTTCTTAGACATTAATCTAGGGTGCTTAGCGGTGTGTTTGTCTGTTCGTATGGGAAAGTTTAGTTTCTTTGATGACCTTTCTAGTAATTAAAGTCATGTGTCTTAATGTTATATGGCATGTGCAAAGTTTAATGAATTTTCGTTAAATGTTAATTAGAGGGAGAGCCCACTTACCTGTGCCTGCTCATTAAAACTTTGGGATTTCGACACTGGGTCTCTCGTCTCTCGTCTCTGGACTCATCCCAGCTTTGTTATTGTTTTCTTTTTGGTTCGGAGCCAAGCGAGCATTTACTTTCGCACAACGGCCACTTTGGGCTCAGTGATAAGCCGCCAAGAATAAATAGCATTCGCAAACAATGGCGGCAAAGTTAATTAATGAGTTGCACAAGTTTCGCAGATTTGCCATTACAGACACATTTCCATATGGATACAATCCGAAAATTGCCCAAGTAATTGAAGAAGCACACATGAAGTGCCGCCGTTTGGCATGTGTTGGGGCAAACCAGAAAAACTTTTTAATAAACACTTTATTGATGGCAATTGACAATTATGCAAATCGACCCAAAGGCAATAACAAATAATATGCGAAAGGTGACACAAACTTGAAATGATCAATTTTTTGCCTCTTGAAGTTAAGAGTTCTTGCCACATCTATGTATCTGTGAGTAGGTAACGCACCCATGGCCATGCCCCAAGCTGGGCCAAGCGACGTGCTGATGAAGTGACAACAAAAGCAAAAACAAGCAGACAAACTTGCAAACACACAAAAATTGCCAGGGGCTGCTGCAATGCGCCGAGATGAAGGAGAAGTTCACAACGCCAACAACACCGAAGGTGACACCCAACTTAATAAACTCTGCAAGGCCGGGGCAGCCGTGGTAGCCGGGGTGGCCGGAATCGCCGAGGCAGCCCGGCAGCCCGGCAGGTGCATGGATCATTTCTAGCTTGTGCTCTTTGTGCTTGCGCCATTGTCTTGACACTCCGGCAGAGAAAGCAATCGGGTTGGGTAGGTTTTAGGTTTTAGGTTCAAGGCGTCGACATTATTGACAAAAGTTTTGCGTGTATTTTTTGAGACGGGCGGGAGCCTGGTGGTTGGGAATTGAAGGTGGCGGCAGGCGCAGCACATTTTTGTTAGCTGATTGAAATTAGTTGAAGCATAAAAAAAGTTTGTTTGCTAACAATTTTATACAAAAATATTTCGTTGCAAAGTAAAATTATGACTGCTTTGCATATTTTTCGGTTACCAATGTAAAACTTTAGCCTTTCAACTTATTGGCAAATGTTGGAATTTATGGGCCTGTGCCGGCAACCGGCAACCGTCCTGAGCCAATGTTGGTTTTATTTTGCCAGCAATGAGCTGCGGTTTAACAAGCCAACGTTTCTCCATTTTGTTCTTTGTCTTTGTCCCTCTCTCTCGCGTACTCGCCTGGTGCTGTGCGCCTTTTCTAGGCGGTCTGAGGTCTTCTAATGGCATTAGCAGCCTGTCTGTTGACTTTGTTGAGTCTGTTATTGACTTTGCAAATGCGACGCCCTTAAAGCCAAAATGTTGCATACTACGCCCTACACCACGCCTCCACGCCCATTTGCCTAGTCTGTGCGTCAATCTTTTTAGAGGTAACGCTCAGGCATCTAAATAAAATTACGTATACGCCACACATAAACAAGCTGAAACTTAGGCGTCGTGGCGCAAATTGTAAGTGAATAATTATGTTATATTCTGTGGCCCTAATGAACTTAAGAGTGTTCTCCGGCAGCTTAGACGCATCGTGTCCTGCCCCTCTATATCCGTGGCACAGCATTTCTCACTCGTCTACCCAGCAAGAGCTGCTGGCATGAAAAAAACAACACAACAACATTATGTTGCCACTATGCAAAAGAATATTCTATACTCGACAAGTCTATGAATGGATTATAAGAACTACGTTTAATATATATATACATATATATAGATATATATATATATATATATATATAAACCATTTACTAAAACTATTAGAAATGGTATTGGATTCCTTCGATGACTTAAGTCTATTTTATTTTTTACAGAAGCGTGTACTTACGAGAGGATGATTTTTCGCCTTCCGACCATGTGAGAAAGTAAGGTACTCATAAATCGCTGGGTCGTCATGCTGGGAAATTCTTTCGTGGCCTTCATCCTCTTCGAGTCTCAGGGCTGTCTACTTTTTCTTATTCCCTTTAAAGATGACCACATGTGCTGCCTTCCTGTAGGGTGTCCACCGCAGATATTTGTGCACACAAAACATGCCCCGAGGCTTTTTGGATTTTCAAACAACTCGAAGCACGTCCAGTTATAGAAATATGCTTGATAAAACATTGTAAACATTTAATTACGAGCGATTCAGTGTGAAGTGAAGCTTCAATAGCTTATGAAAATCAATTAGCCAAGCGACAGCGAATAGTTTGTGATTTTCAATCGAATGTGATTGGCATTGGTTTGGCATTAAGCACTAACTAAATGCACTCAAAATGATATAAACGTTTCCATGTTTCGAGGCCAAAGCTAGTGGCACCGCAAACCGAATGAATGCACATATTTTGATTGTGCAACCGCAATGCAGGCCCCGGCACGTCCTGTGCTATCAAAATATTTGACCAAAGCGGGCTCTATGCAAATGCAGCAACAACATTCATTGGGCATTTGTGAAGTGCCAGAGTCTGTCTGCCTAAAAATGTGTAATGAGCGGGCGGAGCTCGTTTTTCGGTGCGGGCCAGACGACATAAATCACGTACACATAAATGTATGTATATAAAAGCCACATTAATTTGAAAATATTTTTGTTAATTCCGTGTGGCGTCTTTGCAAATTGAATGTATGTTCGCAAAAGTGCAGCGAATGCACGTCGCATGAGCTCACCTGCTCACCTGCTCACACACACACACCTCTGCAGCTCACAGCTTAAGCACATTGAGAATTAAGTCTAGCATAAAGTGAAACATGCTGGGAATGTTTGAGATGTGCAAAAATGCAAAACAAGCCAACAAATCAAACAAGCGACAGCCAAGTGAGCCAAACAAGCAGAACAAACAAATTCGAGCCAGAGCCCAAGCCCAAGCCCAAGCCAAAGGCGAAGGCTGAAGACTGGGCCTGAAGCTGCAGCCAGAGCCGAGCGAGTGTGGCACCAACCAGCGGCGGCTCCGCCTGCAGCACACATGCAAAGCTGATGAAGGAGTTTTGTTTTTTTGTGAAACTACGGCACGGAAAATGCATTCAATTTGGCGTGGAGCACGATTCGGGCGAATGCATAGCAATCAAAATGCGGTTAGTTGCGTGTGGCATTGCCGACAACAACAACAACAACAATAACAACAGCCGCTGCATGAGCAACAGAAACAACAACCGCGGTAACAACACTGACAACACAATGGCAACGACAATAACAACAACAACAGCAACAAAAGCAACAATAACAGAAGCAGCAGCAGCAGCAAAAAATGACAATTGTCAACAATTTTAATTTTCATATACACGCCACAGGGACACGAAAAAAAAAAACCATAAAAACAACAACAAAAACAAGGATAGCATGGGCGTTATAACAATGGCAAACACACACACATACATATGTGTACATACGCATACATATGCAACATACAAATGGATTTCAGCGAGAGTCCTTGGTAATGGATGTTTATGAGCTCATGTTGGTCCAAATCGAACAATACGGTGTTGGCCATCTGTCTGTCCCTTAGTCTGTCTGGCTGTCTGCCTGCCTGTCCGGACTGTCGTTTGCCGTGTCCGGTCCAGCTGACCGCAATGCAACATGCAACATTGTGGGGGCTAAATAATTTTGCAACTGAAGCGCTGTCAATCCCCGTTTTTAGTGTTTACTGTGGCCAACTAACAGAGCCTAGTCAATGATTTGAAATGGATTTTCATTTTTTAATAGCAAGCAAGTCTGCTATCTACTCTATTTCAAATAAATATTAATTTTTGAACACTTTAAAAACTAGATTTAATTAATTTGCTCGCCAAAAAGAATTTTAGTTTAACAAGTTCCAAATAAATTTAAATTTAATATATTTCATGGTGTTTCCACTGTGGCATAGAATTGTATTTGGGATATAATAATTATTCTAATTTTGGTATTATTTAAAATATTAATTATTATGATTAAAAATCAATTGCTATTCAGTCGCTTGCAATATTTGCAAATGCGGTTTCAGGCAATTTATGTAATTAAATTTTCATTGATATTATTCTTACAACCAATATTCTATTATTTTTTCAAAAACAACTAGCACATAAAATAACAATAATCGGAAATCTCATTTTCATTTTAAAGTTGCATAGACATTTAAAAAAACTCAATTCAAATGCTGTTGGGCATCATATTATAGATATTCGCTAAATATTGGAGAAACAAGTTGGTAATAATTTATTAAATGATTATAATAATTATTTTTAAATTGCATTTTTGTGCGTGGTGCAGTTTTTGGTTAGCAAAACAATAGGCAATTAAAAATGATGCAATAAAAATTAATATCTGGTCACACCACACAGCCAATTAGTTAAACAAAGATTGCCAAAATTGGCATATATTAAAAATGTATTAAATAATAAAACAAATTTATAAATTGCGTTTAAAATATTGGTTGACTTTGTGCTGGGCAAAGCCAGTTATTTATAATTGCTTATATTAGGATTCATCTGCCATTATTCAGAGAGCAATGAATATTTTGTGCAGCTGGTCACACTGGCTGCATTTTAATCACATCCGCACAGCACATCGCCATAATTGCATTTTGGTGGTTTTGTTTCATTTCGTTTCGTATCGTTTCATTTCGTTTTGGCGACTCTTTGGCTGCGACTGCGGTTTGTTAATTATGAATAATGCAAATTTGATGAGTACATTTTTGCTGCAGCACTTGTTTTCCCGCTGCCGTTGTGTGTGTTTCCTTCGCCGGTGTCCTTTATTGTCCATTTTATGGCTTGTTTGCCTGGCCACAGATTTAGTTAATATTTAAAATGTATGCATATTTGAGTGGCTGCTGTGGCTCTGGCAAATTATCAATGTTCTTTCAACTATGCATGCATTTTATTGAGTCGGCTTTTCACTGAAAATCAAATAAAATCCCATTCAGACGGCTCTTTGATTTATGCACTCGCATTTTAAATCCATGCGCAAAAATTGCATCAGGCGACGTTTGCCGCTAAGCGTATTAATTAATTAAAAATGAGCATAAATAAGTACATAAATCAATTATCAGATTCAATAAGACGCTCCACTGTTGCAGCTGCCTGCGGGCCACGGGCTGGCGCTAGCTTTGGCACCGGGCAATTACTTTGCTGAAAGCCCTGCAAGCGACGAGGACGATAAAAACGGCAACATGGCGTTCAAAGTGCACAAAATGGCGGTAATTCACGCTTTGTTGCCGCGCGGCCATAACGAATGAATGAATGAGCGGCCGCAGAAAAAACGAGGAGCCGTACCAAAAGGATGCCGCTAATAGAAGTGCGGGCGTCGAGGCAAAATAGCAACAGCGAGCAGCGAGCAGTGAGCAGCAACCAGGGCGAACCGAGTTTGATTGCTTAAAACTAAAATGATCGATTTGACAATACCCCTTAATGAGATGTTGATGCAAGTATTCAGTTGACACTAGAAATTGAAAAGCGGTCAGGACCATTCAACATATTTTAGCATTAGTGACACTTTTGGGATGAAATTAGGACTACTTTTGAAATATTATTTATTATATTTATATTTCAATACTCTTGAGTTATCTATAATATTACCAGAGCTGCAATCCGACTTGGAACCAAACAGGCTCAAGTCCAGATCCAAAAATTAAACCAAACCAGTTGCCCAAAAAGCAGCCCAACGAAACCCCAAATAGAAGATAAATTTAGCTCTTCTTTTGTATATAAAAATATAGACTTTTTACAATATTTTCAGTCGGGCAGAGCTAAAAAAAAAAATTGTTTTACTTCATGCAATTTTTAGAAAATATAAGGAAAATAATTTGAAAAAAAAAAAAAACACGGGCTTATACATATGAAAACCCAGCCAGATTAACTTTTAACGTGGCCAATAAACTGCTTGATGGTGCTCGAGCCCTTTTTTTAAAACTAGTATAAGCCTAGAAAATAGTTACAGACTGCCACTAACCTTTTCTAATGCCCTTCGACTTCAAAACGGGATCTTGGATGTTCTGCTGCCAAAATAACTGAAAAACATAATATTATTAAATATTAGTAAATACTCTACAATATGTATAGGAAATTCTATATTTAAAATTGGAATCGCTACATTTTATTCATTACATGCTTTTTGTACTTACTCGTTTCTGCACATGATAATGCTCGCTCCATCCATGGGTAAAGGGTATAAAAAGCTGCCATGGCCAGAAAAACTATGCAGGCAGGCTGCACTCTTAACTGTTCAGCGAAGAAAAGATATTGTTAGTTTTTCTTCAGCTTTGTTCAGCTACATTTTCCGCTGCTCGCTGCCCGCTGCTTGCATTCAACTGCGTGCTAAACTTTTCCTTTGCGTTGCGCTTTCCTTGGCTGCCAAGCGTGAATTGTTCATAAAGTGCGATATTTCTGAGAGTGCTTCGGTCATCGGCGCGCACTCCGGCTATGTCATTAATGATACTTTTTCGTGCGACTAATGCAATTACTTTTCCCATTTACACATAATTATTCAAGAATATTCCACATTGATGGACCCGCTGTACATTAAACGATCTTCAGAAGGACAATTCAATGATGGCAGTGCACTTAAATCAAATAAGAACTTGGTAATCAAATCATGCGCAGGCAAAACTGAATGCCACAAGTTGCAGGTAAAGCCGAAGACAAATTTCACATGAGAACTTTTTCAAGAGAGTCAGTCAAGCATATTTGACAAATTCACTTAAC